TTCCTGATGTTTTGACTTAAATTATTTTTTGAGAAACTAGTAATATATTACTTAAGAATATTCCTTTCTCAAATACCCAAATTTTCAGCCAGCCTTCTGACAAGAACAAGATGAACAACAAACATGATTAAGGTCATTACTGAGGACCTCAATAGCTGGTAATGTAAAAGATCTATAGGCTACAGCTTCCAGGTATATTGGTTGTAATGATATTTGTTAAGAAAAAGAAATCAAAGATTTTGACTTGCATATTCTTGTCTGCTGAAGAGAAGTTCTATAATCACAAACAAGATTTTCCACAGAAAGCAACTCTAGTTCTAGGACTTGAGCAATTATTTGATTCAAGCACAAAAACTTAGTGCCACTGGGTAGCACCTCATCACCCCTACATCTTGTCCTTTCCCACTCCTGCCAACTCTACTTCTCAAGCATTTTCCTGGTCACCTCCTCTTCTCCTTATTATCATTACTCTGGTTCAAGCTCCCTGACTGGATTTTCTGCAATCGTTTCTTAACTATCCTCCCTGCTTCTCCCCTGATTCCCCAATCATTCCTTCTCCATCAGCCACCAGACTAATTTCTCTGAATCACAAATGAGGCTAATCATGCCATGGCCCTGCTTAAAATTATTGAGCAGCTTCATCATCCATGGGAAAAAAAATTCAAGCTCCTTAACATGGCATTCAAGGCCCACAAAGCACTGGCATCTGCCAATTTCGCTTCCCACTGCCATCTGCCCCTACACATAAACATTCATATTCAACTCCTCAGAATTCCACACATACACCTTGTATCCTCCTCTACCTGGCATTATCATCCTCCAAGACCTCCCTCACAGCCGTGGCAGAGAAGAGAAAAGAAGGGGACCCTAGTTGATGGAACTGATCATCCAAATAACCCCCGAGGATCACTGAGATGATATAGCAAAGCAAAATCACCTACGTTTTTAGACTGCCAAGACTATATCCTGAATTTCCAGAATAAAACCTCTCAAAAAAGTGATAAAGGATCACATGAGTGGATGTTAACGGTCAGGTCTCACAGTACAACAAAATTCAAACTTAAGAACAAACAGGCTGAACAAAGGACTTCAAATCAGCATGCCCACAAAAGGATCACCTCTGGTCCTTATACATATAACTATATTAATAATGATTTAAAACATTTTTTCTGACTGCAATTATCTTTATGGTCCTTTTTGAAAATACAATTTGATTTGAGGTGATCTTATAAAATTCCAGGGAATAATTCTTATTCTTAATAAAGTTTAATATAATAGTCTGCTGAAATTCAAGTGTTCCAATAGGTATGGTTCTTTCCACTTCTAAAATTAAATCACTTAATGAGAATTGCCAGAAAGAGACTTCATTAGTAATTATCCACAATGGTAGAGAACACACAAGATACATTTGCACTGTTCTATTGTTATAAGCCAGTAGAAGAGTGGAATTTTCAAAGATGCAAATAGTTCCCCTTGGTCATATTACCCTGGATAGAAATTAGAGCTGCAAGCTAATAGGAGTCTGAGGGACAAGGGCATGCTCCTCAGCCTGTGGTTTCTCTGGCTTCCAAAGCTAGAAGCAAAGGATTCTTTTTTTTTTTTTCTTCCAATCTATCCATTAAGCTTCCAAGAAATAAACACGTTTGCTTCAAAATTCAATTTCCTGTGGGGTTATCTTCAGATGCTACATGGGTTTATTAGAATTAATCACAACACAGCACGGCTTCCAAAGTGAAGGCCCAGGGTTGACAAAATACCCTCCCTATCACAGCCGTCAACCCACCAAAGGCTATGGGGACTCTCGAGATTTCGAGGAATATAAGCAATATAAGCAAAATATTTTCAACTTCAGTCTAGAGCAGGTAGGGAGGGGTAGACCATAAATAAGTAAACAAAGAAAAGATGATTACGTATTGTGCTAAGTGCAGTTAGTGAAGGCCGTCGGCGATGTTTGCTAGCAAGATGCATTTTTTTTTCCATTTTGCTTCCCACATCTGCAATCAACATATAACTTCATGGTATGAACTATTAAACACATAGAAACTAGAACAAATGTGAGTTTCCTATTCTAGTTCAAGGCTTGATAAGTTAAAAATCTATTTTGATGGTCCTGGGCTCCAAAAAGCCACTGTTTCTCTCTAGGGTGTGTGTGTGTGTGTGTGTGTGTGTGTGTGTGTGTGTGTGTGTGTGTGTGTGTGTGTGTAGGGGTGAGTAGTGAGTACTAGGGTCAACAGCCTTAATAGCACGTTGCCCCCAAATGCAAAGGTGTTCCACATATAAGTAGCTATGAATGTGGGTTTCAAAACAAAAGCCTTAACTTAGAGTTTTATTATGTTTTAAAATCATCACTGTCTTAATGTTTAAACACCTGTTTAAGTCCTCTTAATAAGGGATAAATGCCTGTTTATGGCTTTTTGAAAATATAAACACAAGGATCCATAGCTTTTAAAAAAAGACTTTGTTTCTGTGACAATGTTTGTTAATCTAGCTGAGTTACTTGCAGAAAAATGGAGAATAGAGAGTGATAGAGAGTTCTTAAGCACTGTTGCTCCAAATACCTTAGTTACCTGAATTATTCTAAGGTTATTTGTAAAAACTAAAATTCCATGAGGCAAAGAATGACTTTTATCAATCCCATTTATGATATTCGATTTCTGTATTACACATAAAGAATTGGACTATTAAAGAAAGTAACCAAATGAGAGATGGATGTTTAAAAATAACATTAAATGAGTGATTTGAGAACTCCAAAACTTTATGTGACTAAGTTATTTCTTCTCTGTGCCTGCAGGTCATTTTCACACTGGGATTGCAATTTATTAGATGCCATACACAAGTTCTATTGTGGGCTCCAAGCAGAGGTACAGGGAAAACCTCTAGAAGATTCTTCCTTAGTAAGCAGCAGGTAACGTTCTGTAATTTTAGGCCACCACACAGAACCGATTGTCACTCACAGCTTCTGTCACAGAGTGGGATGTGTCACGCTTCATTTGGTACAAAACATGACGATGAAAAAAACAACTTGATGAACCTATTTTAGCAGCCTCTGTTCAGCCAGCAGTATGAGCCAGAGTACTGTGACAAAGCATTAGGCTCCTTACAATGCCAACCTAGAAACCAAATCACTACTTTGTAGCAAGAAATGAAAATCATGATGATAAAGCTACAGTTGATCTCCCCACCCAGCAAAGGAAATATGGACAAAATACAATCACCACCACACATAACGGATGGACTTCATGTAAGGATTAATATAATGATTCATGTAATATAAGGCTCATCTTCAAAAAGGAATGATTTGCTTCCTTTGCCATGACTAATGTGCCTGGGTGGGGCAGCCCGTGGTATAACTGACAATAAGATTTCTTCAAACAAAAAAAAAAAAAAAAAAAAAAGAAAGAAAGAAAAGAAAAAAGAAAGCAAAAGCAAAAACACCACCACAAAGCAATGTCTGAATCCCAGAGAGCCCCAAATGCACACTCATTGCTCAGACTTGCCTGGGTTTCCTTCCAAAGAAAATTTACTCACTCTCCTATGGAAAGGCAAAGTAGGAGACTGCAGGAGCATCAAAGCCATGGACCCTGTCAACGATGCCAAGAGGAGGGGGAAATACACCTTCTAACTCTAAGAATTTTGGAGAGGGGGCTGTCTCAGTAGCAAGGGGGGGGTCAACAAATGTGATATGAGGCCCTAAAACCACAGCACAGGGCTTCCTTGGTATGCAGGACAGGGGTACAAGCCAAAGGGCAGGTGCTATATTCACCCACACACACCATAAGGAATCCATGCTTCCTGGAAACTGCCCAGTGATGTCACCCTGTGCAGCTGTAACCTGTGTGAGTGTTCTGACTCAGTCATCAACAATGACATTTTGGCTGGGCACAGTGGCTGATGCCTGTAATCCCAGCACTTCGGGAGGCTGAGGCGGGTGGATCACTTCAGGTCAGGAGTTCAAGGCCAGCCTGGCCAACATGATGAAACCTCAGCTCTCCTAAAAGTACAAAAAAATGGCTGGGTGTGATGGTGTACGCCTGCAGTCCCAGTTACTTGGGAGGCTGAGGCAGGAGAATTGCTTGAACCCAGGAGGCAGAGGTTGTAGTGAGCTGAGATCACACCACTGCACTCCAGCCTGGGCAACAGAGTGAGACTCCCTCTCAAAACAACAACAGCAGCAACAAATAATGACATTTTAAAAATGATTAATTCTACTTCTCTTTTTTTTGAAGCAGTTGCTTTTTAATTGTTAACAATCCCTCATATTAGAATAGCCCATTGTGGTTAACAAGGTACTTATGACCATTACCTCAATTATTCTTCACAAAAGCTCTATGAGATTAGCATGATTTTACTAACAAGGAAACAGAAGTTTAGAAAAGTTGAATAGACTACTCAGTAGTTAGTAAACGGCAGACCCAGGGCCCAAGCCCAGATTGTCCCTTGCTCTTTCCTCACAATGGTTAATTTGGTTTCTATAGTGGAGTTATAGGCTGAAATGACATTAAAATTCTATTAAATTTGGTTTCCACAGTAGAGGTTTTAAGCTGAAGTGATATTATTAAAATTATATCATTTTGAAAAATATTTATTGAGTATAAATAAATGTCCTATACACTAAATATCAAGAAATATTCATTATTGATTAGAAGTCAAGATGTAATACTGAGGGAACCATAGAATCAAAATATCCACTCATGATACAATAGTGATAATTCCATTCCAATATTGGACACAGAAATGATTTGTTCACAAGACACAACAAAACCTATCAAAAAGGCCATCACTTTAACCAACCTATAATACCACAATAGAAAATGATTCTGAATCATAATATGAACAGCCCCAATAATCTCATCTTTGTCTTACCGATTTATCAGGTCATTTTGAGACTGTAGAGTTACACTGTCATAGATTTTTAACATTCCATTTCCTTAGTTTTATTTCAAAGTATTACTAATGAATGAAAACAAGTCATACAACCCAAAGATACTTTTAAACTAAGTGCAATTTTCATAAGAAAAAAAGGAATCAAATTTTAGTACAAAAAAAAAAAAAAAAAGCATTTCCCAAACAATGAGTCTCTTAACGGAAAAAATCAAAGAGCAATGTAATTAAACTTTCCTTCAAAGAAAGGAAAGAAACATAAATCTGTTATGGTAAATTTGGAAAGATAAATATTTCCTAGTCCCATAATATGTGTTTGTTTTATAAGATATACTTGAATGATGCTGATCTATGAAGCAGGGATCTGTGGCAATCCAAATTCATCCACCAGAAGAACTCTATCCTTGTTTTTTGTGTCAGTGGGAACATGTTCCGGAATTGCAGGTCATCTTCAACCAGTTCTGGGGTGCCATAACTGCGAATCAGTGCTTCTTGGATTTCATTTGCATCTTCCATCATATCCTCTAGCTGGTCTTGTAAATCCTCAATCTGGTCGATTTTCAGTTGCTTGTATGCCTTCTTCATTTCCTTTACTCCCAGTTTCATAGCATCAACCGTGGTCTTGGTGTCCTTCAATGACTGGATGGTATAATTGGCTTGTTCCATGCTGAATGGCTGTTGTTCAAGATTGCCCTGCTGCTGCTCATACATCCACTTTTACTTTAAAACTTTCAAGGCTTTCTGCTTAACCATATTCTTTGCAGGACCCTCTCTCATCTTCTTGATCTGATCCTTATACTTTACTAGCTCAGCATCCAATCGAGAAATCTTCTTGTCAATGGATTCTGCCCTGCTGTCCACCGTGCCAATGCAGTCAGTCAGGCTGGGCGGTGGAGCCTTGGGGTTCGCCTTCCCGAAGAACTGGTTGATCTTGAGCAGCCGCAAAGAAACCCAAACACTGGAGCAAAACCATAAACCACTTATGTCTTATGAGGAAGAATGGGGAAGAGAAGCTATAGGAATCAGAAGGGTTCAGAGGAGGGAGTCTAGAGGCAGACTGCCTGGATTGAAAGCTCAGCTTCACCATTTACTAAGCTACGTGACCCGGGCAAGTCACTCAACTTCTTTGTGCCTCAATTTTCTCATCAGGAAACTATAAATGGTATTGAGTTGTTAGAAGACTTAAATGAGTTAATATTTATAAAATGTCTGGAATGGGCCCAGAGCCACGGGCTCACTCCTGCAATCCTAGCACTTTGGGAGGCCGAAGTTGGGAGGATCATTTGAGCCCAGGATGTTGGGGCTGCTGTGAGCCATGATCACACTACTGCACTGCAGCCTGGGTAACAGAGCAAGACCCTGTCTCAAAAACAAAATAATAAAAATAAATAAAATGCCTGGAATGCTGCTTGGCATATATAAGCACTGCTAAATTTTGTTATTTAAAATAAAAACTTTCAAAATGTTTAAACAGCTAAGAAGAGCTCCTGGCCCCATTCAGACCTCTCACCAGAGCTATAGTTGGAAGTTCTGTTTTTCCTTCTTCTCCAGACCATGTGCCAGAACTGCTGACAGGACTCTCAGTGCCTGTCCTGAAGGCAGATGATCCTCCCTATTCTCACCTTGTCATTGCTCTAACCCTCATTCAGATCCCCCGCATCCCCAAAACAAGTCCAGTTAGCCCAGTTCGTAATGCTAACCTTCCATTTCAAGGTGTCAGTGTAGTGGCACAGCTATGGTGACGAGATCAAGCGGCAACCAGAGTCCCAAGACACACACTGGTTTCCATTTAATACAATGTTTACTTACCTTTATATTAGGACACAGGACAGGAAACCCATCAGGGTCTGCAGCTTCATCTCAATGGGAGGCATGGCAGCTACCCAAGTCTACAGCTACTTCTGCCCCTCATCCACACAGGTCACATATGATTGCCACAGACGATGGGCAAGATGTTTGTGGATTTTGTTTGTTTGTTTGTTTTGAGACGGAGTCTCACTCTGTCGCCCAGGCTGGAGTGCAGTGGCGTGATCTTGGCTCACTGCAGGCTCCGTCTTCCGGGTTCACACCATTCTCCTGCCTCAGACTCCTGAGTAGCTGGGATTATAGGCGCCTGCCACACGCCCAGCTAATTTTTTGTATTTTTTAGTAGAGACGGGGTTTCACTGTGTTAGCCAGGATGGTCTCGAACTCCTGACCTCGTGATCCACCCGCCTCGACCTCCCAAAGTGCTGGGATTACAGGCATGAGCCACCGCTCCCGCACTTGTTTGTGGATTTTGTTGATGAAGAAAACCACAGCCCCTTTTCCTGTCAATCTTTTATACCACCCTCAGGCATGCCAAATTTCCCATGCCAATTTACAGTTTCCCAGTGGAGGGGCAGCTCCATGTGACAACCAAGGCAGGCACAACATCCCTCAATTATCTTAACTCTTACTGTTTTCAATGACATAGAGCATAGGAGGCCAGGGTCACTCCCAGGTAGGCCTAAATCAGCCCAAGCCTTCACTCATGAATGCCAATTCACTTTTTAATGGAATGAAGCCTTGGGCCCCACAAGGGCAATCAAGGTCCCCCACAATCTATTGCCTGAATATGTTTCCTGTCTCATCTCCTACAACTGATCCCCACATACCCTAAACTCGGCCACACAGCCTGCCTCACCCTTTGGCTCACTGTGCACAGTTGTGTTCCACCCAAGAGTGTCAACTCAGGGGCAGAAACCTTTTATTTTCTCTTCCTATCACCTGGTGTCCCAACACAATCTCTTAAACACTAAAAATTCAGCAAAACCTTAACTCTGCATTTAAGCAAATGAAGCTGGGTCACAATTACTCTGGTATAGTGAAAGAAAGTCATGGAATTTTACAAGTTCCAATGTCTGGATGACAGTGATCCTTATACGCATGAAATGTTAAAGGCCACAAGCCTCATCCAAACCACTCTCTTGATTCCATAGGAGGAGGAAGATATCCCAGAGGGATCGCAAAGCTAATGTCTTAATAACTCCCTTTGCATAATGTTCCCATAGCCATCCTTGTGAGTAGGGCCTGTGTCCCTGTACAACAAATAGTCAGCAAATGCTTGGGTAGCCAACATATGACTTAGTCTTGTGAAAAATTATGATTGCGCTTGAGTCTCTTCATGGAAAGATTTAAATCTGTACTTAATGCCAAAACAAACACAAAGAACCAGCCAATATAAATTAGGGATATCCCAAAGCTTGACTTAGGCAAAAATCATCTCTGATCTTCAGAAGTAACTGAACGTCTCCTGCAATATCATTTTTGGTATCCCTTAACTGTTAGTGACCAATTATTGCATGCTGGCACAGTGACCAGCATAACAATCTGAGTAATATAAAAAGTGTATCATTTGTATTTATTAAGTCTATATGTAAGATGGAGTAAAAATTGTATTAATCTATTGAGAGATATATTTATCTTTATTATTGTAAGAATAAAGTAACAATTAATGACTGTGAGAGCTATTAATTTGATATACAAAATAGTTAACCTATTAAGAATGTATTAAGATAAAGACAAAAAGCACAAACCATAAAGGAAAAAATAACTGATAAACAGGACTTTGTCAAAAACTTAAAATTTCTGTTCTTCAAAAGACACAGTTCAGGAAATGAAAAGACAGGCCATAGACAGGTAGAAAATATTGCATACCATGTATCTGACAAAGGATTGGTATCCAGAAAATATAAAATACACAACTCAATTAGACAAAAAAAGATAAATTTAAAATGGGCAAACAAGTACAGAGACTTCAAAGAGGATATATGGATGGCAAATGGGCATGAGAAAAGATGTTCAACGTTATTAGTCAGTAGGAAAATGCAAATTAAAACAATAAGATACCATTTCACACTAGAATGGATAAAATTTAAAATTCCTAAATAACAAAAGTTGGTAAAGGTGTCGAACAATTGAAAAGCTTATACATTGCTGATGGAAATGAAAAATGTTCAGATATTTTGAAAATGATTGCCAGGTTTTTAAAGTTAAACATACACTTACCATGCAACAAAGGAATCTCACCTTGGGTATTTATTCCAACAGAAATGAAAACCCGTGCCCACACAAAGACATGTAAGCAAATGTTCATAGCAGCTTTATTTATAATACTTCATAACTGAAAACAACCCAAATGTTCAATGAATGGCGAATATATAAGTAAACTGTGATATATCCAGACAATGGAATATTACTCAGTAGTAAAAAAGGAACAAACTATTGATACACATTACATCACAGATGAATCTCAAAAGCATTATGCTAAGTGAAAGAAGCTAGAAAACAAAAGGTTATCTAATACATGATGTTCTAAAAATGGCAAAACTATAGAGACAGAAAACAGATGAGTAGTTGCCAAGAGCTAGGGTAGGAGAAGGGCATGTTCTGCAAAAGCAGATTTCCAGGGGGATAGAAATGTTCTATTATCTTGATTTTGGTGGTGATTACACAAGTGTATGCAGTGTCAAAACTCATTGAACTGTATATTTAAAAGAAATGAATTTTGTTGTATGTAAATTATACCTCAATAAACCTGGCCTTTAAAAAGGGAATACATTTAAAAATAGGTAAACAGCCAGTGAATATTTGAGTGAATTAATGAAAGAAGAGTGCAATAGTTAAATAACTTAAGGAAAAACAATATATTTGGTTAAGCCAATAAATACCTAAAAATTTAAGTAACAATACAAGATACAATAATAGATATTAGATTATAACATAATTCTAGTCTTTGTAGAATTGTTTGCTGCATTAACATTTATAACATTGCAAAACAAACTTTTAGAGTTGCATTTAATTTCTAGTTATCTCTTTGGCATGACACACATACAATCTAATGAACTCACATGCAATCTAGCAACTGATGGTGCCAAGAAATTATCTCTTGCTGGCTGGGCGTGGTGGCTCATGCCTGTAATCCCAGCACTTTGGGAGGCCGAGGTGGGTGGATCACCTGAGGTCAGGAGTTCAAGACTAGCCCGACCAACACAGCAAAATTCCATCTCTACTAAAAATACAAAATTAGCTGGGCATGGTGGTGGGCGCCTATAATCCCAGCTACTCGGGAGGCTGAGGCAGGAGCCTTGAACCAGGGAGGCAGAGGTTGCAGTGAGCCAAGATCACGCCACTGCACTCCAGCCTGGGCGACAGAGCGAGACTCCATAAAAAAAAAAAAAAAAGAAAGAAAGAAAGAAAGAAAGAAAGAAAGAAAGAAAGAAAGAAAGAAAAGAAAAAGAAAAGAAAGAAATTATCTCTTGCCTTCAATGTCAAACTTTAAAAAGATGATTCCTGAAATTTTTAATAATATTGCAATAATAATATGTTTCTGAATAAAATTTCAGATTTATTTAACTCAGAGGTTCATTCTAAGTTGGTGATATTTTGGTTTGGATAAATATTTATTTTTAATACTTGCCATTCAACATTTAGCTAAAATAGTTATTCAGTAGCTAATCGGTTAACTTTCAGGGTTTCAAGTTCTGGTTCATGCTCAGCCTGCCTCCACTAAACCAATGTCAAAATAAACTCTGGGGTTCAGCCTTCATACCCTTTAAGGACTTATGATAAACTCACCATTACATCCAACATTTACACTAGAAATCCTAATCAATCTTCACAACATTGATTTCTCACATTAATTTTCAAGATAATTCATTGCAAGACAGAAATATAGTAAGAATCACTTGAAAAATTTCAGAAAATATCCCGCGCTATGAAAATGAGAGTTAAAAAGTGAAAAAAATGGGGCTACGCAAAATCTTTTTTAAAAAAGAAAATAAAGGAAATCCAGAACAACAATAGAGGTTAAAGACATAATGGATGAAGCTGGATGTGGTGGCTCATGTCTGTAATCCCAGCACTTTGGGAGGCCAAGGCAGGAGGATCACCAGAGCTCAAAAGTTCAGGACCACCCTGGGAAACAAAGTGAGACGTGGTCTCCTCAAAAAA